TGTTTGTCAATATCCACCAAGACAAAAGAAAGGCACCTTCCACGAAGAGGTGACACCCCTTCCATACCTGGAAATGTGTTCCCTTTCCACCTCCAGATCCAAAGACATACCCCTCTATCCTTCACAAGTTCACCTGATTTTAAAAGCTTTGGCTTAAAACCTTTCCTGATGATTCCAGTCCCCTTTGACTTTTCTCTTTGCTGAAACTCACAGAGCAATTGTAGTTTGCACCATTCAATTTAGCACTTAATTGGCTACTGACTTATATTGCTTATAAACTGCTTCATGGCTACTGGTTTCAGCATTGTAAGGAAACAGTTCCTAACAGTAGTAATAATGATAATAATAGCAGCAGCAAACATTTATATGGCTGACTTCATGCAGCCATTACTCCAGGTGCTTTCCACATGTTAACTCATTTTATTCTACCAATATGCCGACAGAAGTAGGTACTACTGTACTGTCACTCCACTTTTTACAAATGAAGAAACTGAAGCACAGAGATGTTTAAAAAATTGCCCAAGGTTGTACAACTAGTAACAGAGCCAGGATTTGATCTAGGTTTCTAAAAGATGTCTTTTTGACTATCTCTAAATTGTATTTACTCCATAGTATCTAACTCTGTGAATTAGATTTATCATCCCTATTTTCAGATGAGAAAACTAAACATGCCTGAGGTCACACAGCTAGGACCCTGGGCAGAGCTGTGATTCAAACCTCAATCTGACTCGAATGCTTTCTTCTTCCCTAAGTGGAAAAACTAAGAGTATTTGATTAATACTCAACTCAGGCATCATATCTCTGGTGCTCATTCATCTCATGCACAACTGTGGAGACTTTTGCAGGTGGGGGGAGGAGGGGATACAAAGATGTGTGAGGTAAGGTCCCTACACTTAAGGAGTTTACAGCCCGGGGGAGACAGCTGTGCATACAAGGTTGTGTACTAAAATGCTGCAGGTGCTGTGATGGTAGTTGTGACAATTCAGTAGGCACACAAAGATGAGGTTGGAATGCTGAGGGATCCTTGGATCGTCACATAGGGGAGTGAACTCAGACTTTTTGTAGAGTTACTAATCCAAGGTTTTGTGATTAAAAAAGATTTGGTGATTAAAGTCTGTTGACCAGAAAATTCAACTAAGAGGACTCTGAGTATTCTGGTTCATTAGGTTTCTGCTATAAATAATAATCCTCTCCAAATCCATTATAAATTGTTGCTATTTTCTAGGCTGCCCCTGGCTCCATAAGACGTTGGGGAGTAGGGAGAGGTGATCACAGATTGCCTTCTGAGAATTCATGAAACTCCTGATACTGAATGAAAAATTCAGTGAATCTATTTTTTTCTGGCAAAGAGAATCCAGAGTTTTCACTGGATTCTTTGACATAAGGTGTCATCCAAAAGTTAAGAACCACTAAAATGATGCTTTGAAGGTATATCTGTACTTGCAACTATAACTATATAATGATATATATATATATATATATATATATAAAATACATACATACACCCTTATTTAAGTGTACACAGAAAGTGTCAGGAAGGGTTTTCCTGGTGGCATAGTGGTTAAATTCGCACGCTCTGCACGCAGGTTCAGATCCTGGGTGTGTACCTAGCACTGCTCATCCAGCCATGCTGTGGTGACATCCCACATAAAAATACAGGAAGATTGGCACAGATGTTAGCTCAGTGACAATCTTCCTTGAGGAAAAAGAGGAGGACTGACAACAGATGTTAGCTCAGGGCCAATCTTCCTCTCACACACACACACACATACATACACACACACAAACACACAGAGAAAGTATCTGGAAGGAAAAGCCAGACTGTTAACGGCAATGTCTTCTGGGAAGAGAGATTTTTTTTTTTGAGGAAGATTAGCTCTGAGCTAACTACTGCCAATCCTCCTCTTTTTGCTGAGGAAGACTGGCCCTGAGCTAACATCCTGCCCATCTTCCTCTATTTCATATGTGGGACACCTACCACAGCATGGCTTGCCAAGCGGTACCATGTCCGCACCTGGGATCCGAACCGGCGAACCCCAGGCCTCCGAAGTGGAATGTGCACACTTAACCGCTGCGCACCGGGCTGGCCCTGAGAGATTTTTTTAACAGCAGAAGGCAAGGGAGACTTACTTTTGTTCCACACAATTCTGTACTGATTTAAAAATTAAATAATAATTTTTTAATGAACATGTATTACTTTTATAATTACAACATTAAAAAAAAAATCTGATCTCTATTCTACTGCACCATGGGTGGACCATGTTGAGAAAACCATAATAGTGAGGAAGTAGCTGCTACAGAATTCACCACAGACATTGTTACAATGAATTAATGGCCAAGAGTTAGGATGTATTTAGCAAGCTTGGGTCATGGTTGTCCAGCTAGGATAAGGACAATCTACTGCCTACGTGGGTACTGTGGACAGCCAGGAAGCCCCATGTGGCAGGAGACTCATCTTGCACATTGTGCTCTGAGATGGGTGGCATTGAGTGGACAGTGAGGTCCAGGTCATCAGAAACAGCATCAGGCTCTACAAAGAGCATCAGCAGCCTCAGCTCAGAGAAAGATCTAACATGGATGCAGGTTGCAAGTGACATTGGATCTCACAGTCCCAAGGTCACACCTGCATACAAAACTCATCACTGTAGGAACTGTCATCATCTAAATACAATCAGCAAGGACAGAGACATTTTTTACAAGCACACAGTATTCTTTTGGAGTGTCTGGCAGGTAGAACATAAAGATGGAAGACAATACCCTGAGGTCTCTTCCTGACCACGGCCTTATACAAGTCCTCTGCCCTTTCCGACCAGATGTTTCCCCATTTTGACAAGATGATAAATTAGCTTTTACCAAAAGACTCCAAATCAGTCGCCAAATCTTAGTCATGGTTCTAAAAACAGCCAGAATATGAATCATACAAAATCTCCAAATTTATTTTTATTTACATTTATTAATATAAAAACAGTAAAATAAAAGCATTTAGATTTTAACTATTTTCATTTTTCAGCCTAAATTTCTTTTAAACAGTTTAATCTCTAATCCACTTGTGCAATCAAATCCATATTTCCCCCCTTTTCATCTCTTCCCCACCTGCATCCTGTGAATCAAGAGAACTTGAAACCCTTACACAGGAAACAGAGCAGGTACAAGAGAAATAAAAGGCCTAATTATAGTCTTGGTGAGTAAATACCCATATTTTCCACCTGCTTATGTACAGGTCTAGTATTTTATTCTCATAATATATGAACTTATAAGTTATATCAGTTGTCACTGTTTATCTGATAAGAAGCAGGCCCAGGCGGGATCCTTCGTAACAAAGGCTAGCTCAGCATTGCATACAGTTGTGATGCTATAAGAGACAATTATGGCCATTCCCCAGATCAGGAAGAATTGACTGCACTTAGATAAAAATTGCTCTCTCTCAATTTTTGAGGTTAAAAACTGTATACTTTGGGGCCAGCCCGGGGGCGCAGTGGTTAAGTTTGCAAGTTCTGCTTTGGCGGCCCAGGGTTTGCCAGTTCGGATCCCAGGTGGGGACCTACACACTGCTTGGCAAGCCATGCTGTGGCAGATGTCCCACATATAAAGTGGGGGAAGATGGGCACAGATGTTAGCTCAGGCCCAGTCTTCCTCAGCAAAAAGAGGAGGATTGGCAGCAGACGTTAGCTCAGGGCTAATCTTCCTCAAAAAACCCCACAAAAACCTGTATACTTTGCAACTAGAGTTAAGCACAAGCTAATTATACTCTATCGGGTCTTCCCTTCTGCTGGCTAAATCACCATCTAAAATATTTGAAAACCTTGGCTGGAAAGTTGGACAACTAAGAATTATAAGGTGACAATTGTCCCACAAAGGTCCGTTCTTCCAGCATCCTGTTCTTTTAGGAAAATAGCCAATCATCTCTGAGCTGACTCTAGAAGACTTCCTTCTATATCCTTGTCCCTTCACTGGTAGAGATATTTATTGTGCACTTTAGAAAACACTATTTTCTAACACCTGTTTAATATTTATTTTCCTTTAACTTCTATTTATATTCACTTTTCCAAATTTTCACTCAGATCTAAAAAAAGCACTTCAACAACTAATAGCTTGACACAATGTCAGCTATTTAAGATTTCAGATACTCAATGTCATCCTTTGCTTTTCACCACCTTCTAGCATTTGAGGGAGAATAAATTAAACTAAAGTTTAAAATGCTGTAATTCTTTTTGAATCATCATTAAAACAAGACTGAGAGAAGAGAGGTTATATAAAGGAAAGAGGAGGCTATAATGGTGGAATTTAAGCCTTCACTGACGAAGCCGCTAAGAACCAGGACTTCCAAGAAAAGCCAGTCCTGAGAATAAAGCCAAATCCTTTGCTCCTTACCTACATGAAACTACTCAAGTCTGGAGTTTCTTTCCGACTTTATTCGGAAGCAACTTTTGGTTTGCCTGGACTATTTCTAATCAGACTGGACTTAGAGTGCTTACTGCTCAAGCAGGGACAATTTCTACAAGGCCTAGTTCAGGCTGAGGATTATTTTTATTTTGCCCCACATTTCCTGAACTCAAAATAAAGTGATTTTAACCTAGGCTTACAGAAGTAGGAAACCTAGTGGGGTCTGCTGGGACCCTTATGTCAATTTTCTCCTTCCCTGGTCCTTTCTCTATGCTTGCACTCTCCCCAGGGAGATGTCCTGGTTTAAATAAATGTCCCTTGCAAAAATTTACAAAAACAAATTAGTCCCCCAAAATACAAAAAACAGATAAAATCCAATTAGGCAAGAAAGGGAATGATTTGTTCTTATATTTTCTTAGAGGGAATAAAAACTGATATAACCTTTCTGGAGAGCAATTTGGTAATGTTTATCAAAGTCTTAAAAACCATGCACTCCACTTCCAGGAATTTATTCAGGGAAAGTCAACTCTTTTCCCAGTTCTGGCCTTCTTTTTGTTATCTCTGTATGTTAAGTTGACGGATCATTTAACTGTTCCTCTTCGTATGTTCTGTATTTTCACAAAAGACTACAATAAACATATAACTCCTTTGGTAATCGGAAATTAAAAATCACCAGGAAATATAAAACATGCAAACAGCCTGTCCAAAACCACTTGCATTCAAATGTTTAGTGTTAAATGTGGGGACCACCTGCAGCAACCAGTTTCTTTTTTATTATTATTATTATATTATTCTGAAAAAGCCAGTACACACTAACAGTTTTTCCAATGACCTAGGGTTTTCAGATACAGTAAAAAAGCCCCACGTCCACTTTTGTGACTATTACTTTCATAGGATGATCTAAACAGAGCTTCAAACCACGACAATGATTTCCTCTCCCTGTGGGCCCAGGGCTGTTCCTTCGGGCTTCCACAGATTTTCATTGGATATGTGAGTCAATACTAATGTGGTAGCTATGGTCCTTCCTTCCAATGACATCTGGAATCTCTTTATCTGATGAGATATTCTTTCCTCCATTTTATAGCAGGAGACATTATCTAAATTCTCCAGGATCATGTGACAGTAGCCCTGAGAAGAGAAAGCAAGTTTTAACAGTTCTTTGGCCAAACCAGACGGCTTTTCTGAATCTATTTACCATACTGTTTCAAGATGTTTTCTGAAGGGTCCACAGGAGCTACATTTAAAACCTTCTGGTCATTGTTTGCTAACTGCTGGGATGGTTTTAATCAAGGAGAAAGCCAATATTTTCAGCTTCAGTGTTGGAAGAGCTCCTAGAAATGTCTCCAAACTGATTTAGAAGAAAATGCTTAACAAAAGAGGACTTATTCCTGCCCTGGAATAAACTCGTTAGAACTGACATATGCTGTAACCGCAGACCAAGAGAACTACATTTTTTGAACACATTACATCCCAAAGGCAACTGAGGTTTCTAAATTTTATCAGTATCAGAGGACAAAATCAGTTCAACAAGGACTATAGCCTCCATATACTGATTGACAGCTTCCTCCTCCGAATATTCTCGGCGTTTGATGTAACTTCTCTTCTAGGACCTAGTTTTTTTTTGTTTTTTGTTTTTCCTTCTTCTCCCCAAATCTCCCCAGTACATAGCTGTATATCCTAGTCGCAGGTCCTTCTAGTTGTGGCATGTGGGACGCTGCCTCAATATGGCCTGACGAGCAGTGCCATGTCTGCACCCGGGATCCACACTGGCGAAACCCTCGGCCGCTGAAGCGGAGCGCAAGAACTTAACCACTTGGCCACAGGGCCAGACCCTAGGACCTAGTTTTGACACTAGTTTTCTTGAAGAAATTTTCTTTTTTTTCTTTTGAGGAAGATTAGCCCTGAGCTAACATCTGCCAATCCTCCTCTTTTTGCTGAGGAAGACTGGCCCTGAGCTAACATCCCTGCCCATCTTCCTCTACTTTATACGTGGGACACATACCACGGCATGGCTTTTGCCAAGCGGTGCCATGTCTACACCCGGGATCCAAACCGGCAAACCCCGGGCCGCTGAGAAGTGGAATATGCGAACTTAACCACTGCGCCACCAGGCCAGCCCTGAAATTTTCTTGAAGAGGTTTTATTTGATGACTCAGGTAAAATTTTCTGACGTAAAAGATCTCACATTCCCTCAGTAGACATTTTTCCTTCCCCACAACCCTGAGTTGAGATGAGTGAAGGGAGTCCCTTTGTGATGAGGCCAGTTTTGTTGTAGGTTCCAGAAAAGCCCATGTTTCTCAGTAGCTCACATCAAACCAGACCCCCCCAGATTTAGGAAGAACTAATCCAAATGCCTGAATCAGTTCCAAAAGCATGTCAGGTTTTACTAGGGTCAGTAAACCTCTTCTAAGTTAGGCAGGCTCCTCTAGGCCTCAGCTTAGGACACATGGCATTTGGTCAGCCTGGTATTTGCATGAGTAAAATGTTTTTTTCCTCCTTTTCTAATTCTTGCATGATTTATCGTGTGTAAATCCCTAAAATCCCACCCAGGAACCAACCACCATTGCAAGGGTTTTTAAGTTGACCCCACTTCAGTCCTATAGAGCCCAACTCTCTGGGGATAGGTTCTTGAAGCCTCTTTATTTTTGTTTTTAAAATGCTTTTATAAGTGCCTCTGGATGCTGAAGTATGAGAACCTCTGCAGTAGAACAACTCTAAGAGTGAATGAAAGGGAAAAATCCTAGAGCCAGCCCAGTGGCATAGTAGTTAAGTTTGCGCACTCTGCTTTGGTAGCCTGGGGTTCGTGGGTTTGGATGCTGGGTGTGGACCTGCACACTGCTCATCAAGCCATGCTGCGGCAGCATCCCACATACAAAATAGAGGAAGACTGGCACAGATGTTAGTGCAGGGACAATCTTCTTCAAGCAAAAAGAGGAGGATTGACAACAATGTTAGCCCAGGGCCAATCTTCCTCATCAAAAAAAAGAATGCAATCCCAGCAAACAGAGGCAAGCAGGATATGTATTTGAGGATTTAATACTATTGGGGGAATAAGATTAAAAAAAATCACAACAGGCCACTGGGGAGGGATCATGAACACCTTTGCTTCAACAACTCCATCTTCAGCTAGACTGGCTGCATCAGTGTGCTGATGCTTTCTTCTACCTCTGAGAGCTTCTTCAGGACTTGGTTGACCTTGATCTCATCAAATTCCAAACACAGAAATTCAGATTCCTGGAAAACATAAAACAATGTTTTAGAAGAGACTCTCAAGATAGCCAAGGCTCTGGATCTGGTGTGACCCTGCTCCAAAGGCCCAGGGCCCCTACCCAACAAGCCTGACTCAGGCCTTAAACACCTAGATGATATTTTACCCAGCAAAGCACATCCACACACTGCCCTAAATGAAACTACTTCTATGAGGTGTTTCATAAATGGTAAAGAGGTATACAAATGGTAGGTGTTCTCATTATGAGGCACATGAGAAGCTCTTTTTATTTTTTTTTATTTATTATTTTATTTTATTTTTATTTTTTTGAGGAAGATTAGCCCTGAGCTAACATCTGCTGCCAATCCTCTTCTTTTGGCTGAGGAAGACTGGCCCTGAGCTAACATCCATGCCCATCTTCCTCTACTTTATATGTGGGATGCCTACCACAGCATGGCTTGGCAAGTGGTGCCACGTCCGCACCCAGGATCCGAACCGGTGAACCCTGGGCCGCTGAAGTGGAACATGCGCACCCAAGTGCTGTGCCACCGGGCCGGCCCACTCAGGCCATTTTTATCCTGAGGAAATCCTCATTTCAAATACAATAGCCTACAAGTCCTACACCTACTGTGTAAAGAGCATGTTAACTCAGTTTTTCAAAATGCACAAAAATTATACTATAAATCACAAAGCAAATCATCCTACTGAGGATGATATAAGACTAAAATCTGACTCTTCAGGAGCTCTAAGACTGTAACTTAATTACTGAGCAACTAAATTAAGATGACTCACCCCAAAATTCTCTTAAGTGTCCATAATATGTTAAGAGCTATGTAGCACCAAGATAGGGTCCCCAAGAGCTAAGAGAATTCACTCTAATAAATGAATATAGCACTGCCTCAGCACATTCCAGGTACTCTCAGAGCCAAAGCAGCTTCTAGAGGAAGTGTTTTTCCATATTCCCACAATCTACTAGAAGAGGACAGAATATTACCAGTGTAGCTGAAAAGCATTAACCATCACTGGACATTACTGAGTTTTCTTGAGATGTCATTCAGATATTTCAAAGGACTTTTGTGAGAAGGACCTGACAACAGGAGTTAAAGTGCTTAAAAAAATTAAAAAGCTCTACTCCCACAAATTTTTATGATATTAAAAAATAAACCTTATGGGAAAACATGAACTTTTAGTCAGTTAACTAGAAACTCAAGGGAGAAAAGACACATTGGGTATCTGTGAAGTTTCATATCTCCCACTGATGTGAGTTATGGCAAAACAAATTAAGGCACCTAACTTCAACTTTGCAAGTGGCACACACAGGTTTTATAAACAGTGGCAAAATTTTAAAGTAAGATCAGATCTTAACTATTCAGAGACCTCTTATCTGAGTCTCTGCTGCTTTACTTCCTTCTTCTTTTTGGTGGATCTTTTAAATATTTCCACAAGAGGGAAAAAGGAAGTGAAATTTAAACAGGTTAATCTGACTAAATCATGGCAGCTGTGCAAAAAGTTTTATAGAAAAGGAGATTAGAGCTATTGGGAGGAACTCTAATTGTGACTTCACATAACTGGTTTTGAAAATCATACCCATATGGTGCAATTTAGGCCAGAAAGATCTTCTTATCCCAAATATTTCCCTTCCTTTAGTAGCCAGGACTACTGTTCTCAGCCTAGATAATGTCTTTAAAACATAAATACTCCCAGGAGAAGTAATACAAAAAATCAATAACATCTTTCTATTACTTAAATCAGGAGATTTATTTTCTTCCAGGAAGAATGAACCCAAGTAGCCTGTCTTACAACACAGGTTACCTAGCAGTAAGAGAGACTGGGAGGAGGGGGATAAGTAGGTAGGGCACAAAATATAAAAACTAAGAAAGTACCAAAGGCAAATCCTTCTCCTTACCCCATAACCCATATGAAATGCAAAGACCCACAGGTGAAGTATTTTAAGCTACTCAGATCCGGGCTCCATACTCTCCATGTCTTTCTAATCACCTGATCACCAAGGTTGCTAGGCACCAGGTAAACCTAGGGAACCTTACAAAGGGGGCATTAGCAAGATAATCTCAATGAAAACCAAAGGGTGAATTCACACACATACATCCTTCTGCTGCCGTGCTTTCATTTTTATCTGCAGGCTCAGGGCCTGTGAGCCAGCAAGGCAATGAGATTCCAAGAACACTGTCCACTTGGGGCTGGCCCCATGGCCAAGTGAAGTTTGTGCGCTCTGCTTCAGCAGCCCAGGGTTTTGCCAGTTCGGATCTTGAACGTGGACATGGCACGGCTTGTCAAGCCATGCTGAGGCGGCGTCCCATATAGCACAACCAGAAGGACCTACAACTAGAATATACAACTATGTACTGGGGGGCCTTTGGGGAGAAGAAGGAGAAGGAAAAAAAACCCACTGTCCACTTAAAGTTCTTTGAATTTCTAAGAGAGAAAGTGGGAGTATGCAAAGAACAGGACCCTGAGATTCTTTTGGTTTAAGATTTCTTAGCTGGGAAAAAGCTAGAGCCATGATTTAGAAGAAAATTAGACATGCCTGTCTTGCCAATGTGTGGTCAAAAGGAACACGTATTTTCGCCCAGGCAACCCCAACTTGTTTCTGAAAGGGAGAAAATAGTTTTGACCTTGCAAGAATGAGTGGTTCGTCTGTTGGCTGAATTATGTACTGCTAAACCAAGATCATCACTGTTCTTTTACACCCAGAGATTTCAAAGCAGCCTGACATATATTCTGCTCTGTATTACAGGTCAGTGGATAGTGAAAGGTGGAAGTACTATCAATCTTCATTTTACCACTAAAAAGAAAGAAACCCAGAGACTAGCTCCAGTTATGTGACTTCCCAGTTCTTTGATTCAACCCGTTGCCCACTAACACCCACATTTGACTTACATTTGGACACTTTCAAACTCAATTAGAGTATATTTAATAGAGAAGAATGTGAACTAATAAGAAATACCTGATTTTGTACTGATTTACTTGAGTACCAGAACTTAAGCATTTACAAAGACTATTTTAGAAATACCCAACGAAAGAAAATAAAATGGAGCCAAGTTACATAAACATTAAAAGTTCAATACTATTAGATCATTGGTTGATTTCTATGTTTTTCTAAACATTGTGCTCCAGTTCATTTTATAACTTTTTATTTTTGGCAGGATTTAATGTTTGGCTATTAAGATTTTCTGTATTTTGAAAAACTTTGGCTGAAAAATATTTGAGTAAAAAACTATTTTTAGGTGCTCTAGTTTGATGTGCAGGAAATCATACTAGTTTTTGCCTAAGTAGAATTAGTTCCCATGTGACAACGGACAAAGAAGCAGAGGAAAAACTGCTAAACAGCTGAAAAGGCAAATCACATAGAAGGAAGGAGAAATTTAGCTTAAATTTTAGAGAAACCAAATGACAAAACTCTTTACCACAAGAGAAAAAGAGTGTTGCTAATTTTACTTTGAAGTTTAAATAGGGGCCCCTCATCATTCCTGATGAGGTACATTCCAGAGCAAACTCATTTGCAAACAACTTTGACAAACAAAATATATTTACATGAAAGGAATAGAGAAGATTAAAAAACAAAACAAAACACATCCAGAGTTGCTTATTTAGGCAATATCATTAGTCAGGCAGGAACAAAGCATGCAATGGCACTTGCTTTCTAAGAGGTTCTTGATAATCTCCAAATTAAGATGGAAAAAACATCTTAATATATTTCATAAAAAGACAGAAGTGTGGCAATGAATGACAAACTTCTCACCAGGGGAGGAAGACAGTAGTGGTACTAATCAAACCAATCTGGGATTGCAGATTTTCTCCAACTAGGGGGATAACCAACTTGCTCCACCAATAGCATTATTTATCTATTCCCAGGTTTTTAAATGAGGTTTCCTTTAAGTCATTCATGACAGGACAATTAAGCAGAAATAGGCATAGCTAGAAAGCAGCATTTCCCCTGGCCCTTCTCTCAAGCAAGCAAATAAAGCTATATAAGGCTGAAATGACTAAGGATAGGAAGACTTGCAAATTGAGAAAATGCTGATTTGGGGAGAAAAAACTTTGATGAATTTTTTTTTGGCTGAGATTGTGGCGAAAGGGGACTAATTTTCTTGGGTTTTCAACAAACTCCAAATACAGTTATTACATTCTGAGGTACTGGGGTTGGGACTTTAACATATGAATGGGGGGTGTGTGTGTGTGAAAATTCAGTCCATAACAATCCCCAATGCTTGGAAGGTCCTGAGTTTACCAAGCATCCCGTTAAGTGTTTGCTGTTGAAGATGATGATGACGATGATGATGATATCACACGATTCTGGAATTCCTGTTCAGATCGTACAGAAAAGAATTTCTAATAGTCCAGAAACAAGAAAAACACACATACACAACAGCGATCTGCTGACTGCTCAGGTTTGCCAGCCAAGTTTGGCAGAAGCCATATTTGGCCTCATTCTCAACGAACTCAATTTTGAAATGTCATTTAATCTACAGGGGCTGCCAGGATAAAAGCTGCCAGGAAGGGGAGTGAAAAAAGGCACAGAAGAGATCTTTCCAAATCCTCACTTCCAGATCCTATTAAGTACCTTGTCTGCCACGCTGTGTCCCAAAGTCCAGTCCTGAGGACTGATTTAGAATGTAGTACACCATTCTGTGAGAGAATATGGAAGATGAGGGTAGAAGAAAGGATTTGTAGTCACTGCATGTAATTAGTCACCAGCCTCTCTAGCTCAAATAGTTTACTGCAAACTTCTGGAGGTGGCAAGAAGAGAGAAGATTGCATTTCTATTATCTAGGGTTGAATTCTACATCACTTAGGTTGCTGGGGCCTTTATTCATATGCAATAATCAATCATTCTTCATATTAACTTGGTGCTTTACAGTTTAGAAAGCCTTTTCATATACATGATCTGATCTGATTCTTAGAACAGCCCTATTAACTAGGAAGACACCAAGCCAGAGGTAAGATACTTTGAACAACTAACTATAGAAGTGAAAGACCTTGTCGATTTGACTCAAAGCAGATCTTT